ATGGGGGGGGTAATATCGACTTACGCAATAATATTTTGGGGTAATGGTTAAAAAAGTTCCCCGACCGCTGGTGTACGTGAAGCTACAATAGAGAAAAGGAAGAAGTGTTTTCTTTAGATGATCAATGGATAATTTAAAAATCAATAAAGATGGTTTTGTTGGAGATGTTGTAGGTTCGTGTGCGGAACGTTAAATATTTGCGTCGTGTAAAAGCACGGTGCAGTGATTTATTGATTTTATAGGACAGTAGCCGAGTGAATACTATACACACATGTGTATATACACAAAGCACATGTGAATGTGTGCAGACATATCAGTATGTACGCATTTTGAAATGCAGAGGACGACGCGCGAAGCGAGGAGGAATCGCATCACGTAGATTCAAAAAAAAGAAATAATATTTCGCATCGGTGGTGACTTTGACGTCTTAGATCGGTCGAAGAAGACGTGCTCGAGGCAGTGACTCATCCACCCTCCGACGAAGAAATGTATAGGAAGGAAGAGAAGATACGGATGAAGAAGTGGTGGAAGAGATGAAGAGGCAGCTGTGATTCACCACCGACGTCCAGCATTTTTCGCGTCTCGGGACGCGCGCAAGAGAAGACGTAATGTAGCTTGTATTTATTGCCTCGAGTACTTTGCATTACAATAATAATAAATCGCAATAAGTTGGGAACGGTGAGATGTCGTGAAATGGAGGAGAGCGACAATATTGCCGTTGTTCAATTACACAAGCGATGAAATATCGTCGCCTTTTCCTATACATGGACATATTGCCGTCGTCGTCGTCGTCGTTGTACGTGAAGTGGAAGAACTGAACGGCCGTTCAAAGTTTCGCAATCTCAACCTCCTTCTTCTCTCCTTCGATCGCACGAAACTACAATTAACTTCCTCAATTTGGAATCGTGGAAATGCATCATCCAAGAAAGTCTCCTGCAAACCCATTCATTCCATGATCATAAAACAAATAAAAATAACATCGAAATCGCAGAAAACTCTTAAGATAAATTACAAATTAATTTGATTTATTTCATTACACAAAATCAACAATATTTCATAATACATATACTAAACGAACATACAAACAAATTAATCAAAATACACTATAAATCCTCAATTACGTAACTTCATTTTAGGATATAAAAACTTAATAAGATTTTTAATCAAATATTTTATTTTATTCAAATTAAATTAAAAATTAATGCAAAATTAAAAATTAAAGAAAAACTCAATACAATAATAAAAAATAGAATAAAATTCAACTGCTGCAAAGGGCTATTGACCTTTCTACCCTAAAGTTATCTTTTTTCCTAATTTATCCTCAAAATGTGTAAAATTTCCACATGTTATGTAATTATTAAATAAATAACAATAATTAAATATAATAATATACGAAATTGATTTTTAGTAATATTTCTGTAAGTTAATTATAATAATTAATTTTCTTGAATACAAAATAAAGCAGACATTTTCGAATGGAATTAGTGTTATGCTATATGCAACTAATAATACAAATTTTCTAAATAATTTAAAATCGACTAATTGTTGAATTAATTACATCTCATCTATATTATCAAACTATATCTAATTAAAACTATTTGTATATTTATTAAAGCTGTTTGAATATTAAATCTAATTGGTAGAACCGCGCCCTAAAATTAATGTCTATGTTGGATGTATGCAACTTTTTATGCATTATTAATATTTTTAATTAAAATGTACTTGTAAAAATTAACGTGATAAATCTATTCAATTGATAAGAATGGTCGCCTGTATCACGAAAATCTAATACGAAAAGTTCAATTCCGAAAAATCAACAAAAACTTGTGGTGGCTGTTAAACCCGAAAGGGGTAGAAATAGGGCCGGAAAGAAAAAAATAAAAAAATTGATAAGACATTAAAACAAATTATTCAGGATTAAACATAATACAGAAATTTATAAATATTTTTCCGGTATTTTATTAGAACACATAAAACGGTAATAAAATACATTTTTTTGTTCATGGTATAAATATACATCTACTTGTATTATGCTTGTTTTTTTTTTCAATTTTAATTATCCAATTGCTTGGATTACTTTTTGATTACAAATATAAAATTGTTTTCCGTATAGGCAACTCTATGTGCGTCCATTTAAACTGAAAAGCTTAAGTACACACTAGTTCTAATAAGATAAATACAAATGTAAATTGTAATTACAATATTTTCTTTAACAAAGAAAGTTATTAAAATTTTATAACGTCGTATTACGTATACTTTATTCACAATAAATTGAATCTTAAATATTTAGAAATATTTGGAACATTTGTTAGTAATATATAGTTATGTATATATTTAAAGTATATAGTAAATATGTTCGCTGTAAATGTGTGCTAATTATCACAAAAGGCAGTAAAAGTTCATCAAACACGAAGCACCATATTAATCAGAAGACTTTAGTAGAAATATATTATTTTTTTTGAAAATAGTAAACGACAAAAGATAAACAATCGTTCCCTTCGCGTTTTCAGAAGGGAATGCAAACTTAGAGGAACTTCACTCTTGGAATTTCGTTGCAATGCATCTTACGAGTACAAGGTCGTATCAATGAATTCGCTGATCGGAAACGTGGCTTCGTCCGTTCCGTCTGGATCTCTTTCCTTGAATGCGTCTAATCAAAAGAAATCACAATTAATTGATTACACTTAAACAGAATTTGTTTATAATTACCGATCATGTGCTTCAATCTGACGATGCACATGATGAACTCGTCAAACTCCATGGCGCCTTGTCCGTTTCCATAGCGATGCATCAAGATGTTTAACGTGTGGTTATTAAGAGAGTAACCAGCCGATGTCAGAGCCTCCCTCAATTCGAAACCGCTCAAATTATTGGAATTATCGACGTCGAACTTCTTGAAGATAGTCTAATCGCATAAGATACAATTAAGAAGACGGAATTTTTTCAATGGTAAAGTCTTACTATCCAATGGGAAATGTCAGCCCAGAGATCGGCGAATTCCTCGTAACCCAATTTTCCTGAGCAGTTCTTATCGGCCAAGGCCACGAGACTTCTGCAGACGTCGTTGCTGAATCCTTTAAACATGTACTCTAAACGCCGAAAGAAATATTAATTAAATACTGCGCTTAGGACAAGTTGATTGTAAAAGTTCAGCAATTACCAAATTAGTCCAGATAATGGAAGCAAAACAAACATATTATATATTAGATATAAATTGATAGACGAGAAGGGTTCATGTGAAAAATTGATAGATTATTATGGAAATTTCATGCAAAGCTTAGATTTGTTAGTATGCAGGTCTTCATCTTCAAATTGTTTTTGCATGCGTGGCAAGGTTTAGACGACATGCAAAGCGGGTATCGTGCTCCTTTTTTGTTTGTCCATGCAACACCTTTCGTACCTTTGGGCTGCGAGCTGAGCAAAGGAGTTTCGTCGACTTTCGGAATGAAATCAGCTAAGGGCGTATCTTTGCAGATCGCGCCGCAAACGAGATTCAATAACAACGTTAACAAATTACTTTCTCCTTGCGTCTCCGTTTGTCCTGGCGCGGCCGACACATCCTCAACACGATTACGACTAATTTCTGAGCAATCTAAACCACAAACAGTCTTATATATTCTACGTCGACTATAAAAGATCCGGAGACTCCCAAGGCCGTTTCATAAACCTGAAAAACCTAAAGGATGCAGTGTGCACTCACCGTTCGACAGAGCTATAGCCAGCAGCTCTTTGAACTTCTTCCAGTCGATCTCCTCTGCGTTTCCTGCCAACCTCAAGAAGGTATCCTGCAGCTTGATCGTCTCGCCAGGATCCGCAGAAGCCTGCAATCCAATTAATCGTCAACTTACTAATATAAATCATCAACTTTTAAGGGAATATGTAAATGGGGACTTACTCGTCTTACAGCTTGAAGAGCCTGAGGGGCGAAAACACGCAATGCACAACGCAGAATCAACACAAAACAAACAATATGCAACAAATAAAGAAAAATTCCAAAAGAAAATGGGCTTTAAAAATCAACGAAACAAACATTTGGATTCGTTCAAATCTCACCTTAGCCTCCTTCTTTCCATAACCAACTTCCAAATCGTGCACCCTGAAACATCAAACTGCTATTTAAAAGAGAACATCTTTAATGATGAGTGATGTAACGATGCGGAAAAGGTGAATTGTTTTAATGTCCGTTTTCAACTACAGGTTAAAATAAAAAAAAATATAGAACTTGTAGTAGCGCACGTTTAATGTTTAAAAGTTTGTTTTTAAATATTTTCGTTTAATATCTTTATTATTGTCAAAAACGTTGTTTCTATCGCTTTTTTCTTGTTCTTTGACTTTACAAACACCTAACTAATAATAGGGTACTTCGTTTTAAATGCAATTTATAAACATACTGATTATATTTAGTGTTCGTTTTTTTTTTTTGCAAAATAGATTAATTCGATTAAGATAATATTTGTTTTCAACCAACACCGACTAGACTTAGTAAAAGCATGTTAGATTAAATCGTTTTGAGTTTCGCTCTCGCGATATTTACAAATATAAATAACAGACGGATTGGTTTTAGTGCAACATTTGCAGGACTTAACAACAATACTTAGACTCCTTAAATACTAATAATAATAATCAGTAGCGCGGATATCCGGGGTAGTTGTTTCCGGGCGGGTATGGCGCGTTGTTGTACGGTGGATAGCCGGGGTACTGTTGTTGTTGGGGTTGAGGAGGATACGGTTGGCCGTAGGGATGCGGCTGAGTGGGATAAGGTTGAGGTTGCGTCGGATATGCAGGCGGAGTATGAACGGGATATGGGGGTGTCTGCATGGAGCTGTACGCGTGCTGAGGTTGCGGCATATTAGGTGTGTTTGGGTAGGGTGGATTGCTGTTAGGGGCTTGGAAGTTGAAGTTGAAACGGGTGTTGAAGAACGGTATGGTGAAGCCGCTTCTACCGCTATTGCCGCCGCCTCCTCCTCCTCCACCACCAGAATTATAGTAAGGATTGTAACCGGGATTCGAGGAGTGAGGATTGCGCGGCGGCGGGCTCGGCGGTTTGTACGAGGGCGCTTCGTCTTCGTCAGCGTTATTGGAAACATACTCCATGTGGTTCTGGTTTTCGGAGAAGACACGGATCAGAAACTCTCCTTCCTCGTTCGGGTCGAAGGTCGATGGCACGATGCAGTAGGTGCCGGGTGGAAGACGGAAACGGCACGTCACTTCACGCAGATTGATGAACGAAGGTGACCTCCCCACCGACGCGTTGTACTTGAAGAAGTTCCGGTCCAGTGGTTTGGGCACCGAATTCGGATCGGGAAGCTTAAACGGAAACATTAATCATCGAAACATCATAAAATACAAGAATAATTACATAGTATATGGCGAATCCAATTGTGAGCACGTCCAAGCCCATTTTCCTTTGCTGCCTCCTGTTCTTCTGCATCAGAGCAATGATCACCGTACACTTATTATCGTTGGAATCTTCATCCACTTGAGTCAAGGTTATCCTGTATTGAGGATTACTCCAAAACGTATCTAAAACATCAAACAAATCGACCATAACGTACACATTTACTACCAAATTCTACCGTATTTTTCGCATCCCAAATTTATAACACAAATATTCAGATTACAGTTAATATTTTAAATGATTCTGATATGAGATAACTATTAGAAATAAACAAATTCGACAATTTTGATAGATCAACTTTACCTAAGAAATTTCTGCAACCGCCGGCCGTTACTCCTTTGACCCATTCCCCTTCGTAGTAAGACAATTCCCATCGCTTTCCGCTGTCGTCGCTCACCGAATCGGGACTCAGGTTGCAAATTTCGATGCGATCAAAGTACTTCTGGAAATCCTTGTAGGACATCCAGAATTCGCCGTCGTCGTCGAAATTCAAACCCAAGTCCTCTTTCTCGTGGTCAGGAATAAACCTCCATTCTGGAGATCTTAAAAACAAAATTAAACACAGTTAAATCTCTATAAAATTTCCATTTCAAATTAAAAATTGCTTCAAGTAAAAAAAAGTGTTTTTTTTTAGAGTATATACTCTTTAGTTAATTATAAAAAGGCAACTCACTGATCGCTCCAAGCCCCGTTCCATTCGGTGTCATTACCCCAAGGGTTTCTCAGCCGCAGCAAGGGAATTTTCCCCGAAGTATTGGGAGTGCGGATCTCCACGTAACGTACTTTCGTTATGCTGTAGGCGTGTCCCTTGACCAAACCCTCACCTGTCTCCGCTTCCAGCACATTCGGATCGGGCTAAAAATAAAAACAAAAAACACATTCAATTAATGTCATTGGAATTAATGTAATTAATAACGTATAAAACGACTTTGTTTCACGTTCATACAACTGCACCTACCTAATTGAATATTATTAATGTTTTCATATTTTAGACAATATTAGTAATTAAATTTATATAATAAAAAAGTACCTCGATGGAACAACCCATCATGGAGCTGCGTTCAAAAGCTTTCTTGATGATTTGGAAGAGATCCGGAGGACTGTTCTCCAGATCGTACATCTCGGTGACTCCTCCAGTGAAATCCTCCATGGCTTCGCATGTGGAACCACCCTTCAAAGCCTCATAAGATCCGTGCAATCTGCGATCAAAAGTAAATGCATATAATTAAGATACGTATCAAACAATTTACGATCATCGTGCACTGTATCACTCACTTGGCGTAAGCCTTTTCGAGGAGGGCACTCCAATACTCGTTCTCTTCGGCCGAGTGAAGATAAACCAATTTTCCGTGGTAGGTGGGAAGACGATCGTCTATCACAACATCGATCCATCTTCCGTACTGCCAGAATCTGAAAAAAAAATCCCATGAAAATTATATAAAAATTTCAACAACCAAAAATAAATATACGAATTTGTGCGATAATCAAACTTATAATTAACAAAAACAAATCTAATCTCATCACGCCTTCAAATATTACGGTTTATAAAAAATATAACTTAGATTTGTTATCATTTGATATTTGTTCGTGCATTATACTCAATATGCACAATAAAGTACAAATTTCTATAGAAACCCAAATTTAAACAATTGCAATTTCCTCGTTTCTTTTATAATTTTATATTAATAGTAAAATATAAAAATGTTAGACATTACAACATGCAAGCAATCAAAATATTTTCTATGTCGAGATGATTTATTACGAGGAAACTTCTTAAAAAAAATATGAAATATAAGATAAGATAGCTCAACAACATTTTGTATTGCCGTTAAAATTTAGTGGTATTTATAACTCAAGTACTAATTGACACGATAATTGACGATTAACGTGACAAGTATCGTGTATTGAGTAGCATTACATGAATGATATCGAACTGTATTACTAATAGAACAAAAATATCTTCATCACATCACATCAATTTGCTCGAAACATGACTCAAAAATGTAAGAATTGATTGAAATTGCGATTAGACTATAATTTAAGTAGCAATTAAGAGATAGAGACGAGAAATGATGCTGACTCATTGTATGTTAAACAAATCAAATTTAGAATTGCATTAAGATATTTTAGGTAAAATCGTCGAAAAAATACAATCTGCGTATAAATTGATAGGATAGGATGACAAAACCGCAAAATTTGAATTCGAATTATCAACTAATAAGTGTTAAAGCAAACAGTTAATTTATTCTTCTCAAAGTCATTTACTTTCGGTATTTTCGTAATTGATTTACAATTAAAAATATGATAAAATAGCATTGAAATAAATCTTAAACTTCGTATAAAAATATCTTAAGTAAACTTTTAATTACTTGCAACAACAAAAAATTAAACAATCTTCACTGAAAATTTGTTAAACATATTTACAAACATTTTGGAAATCATCAAACTAACTAATGAAGACTTACCGGAAGTGAAAGATGCCGGCGTACTTTTCGTCGAAGGCTTGATCGTCAGGTACAACTTGGAAGAACAGTCTTCGGAACATTGTGAGATTAGCTGCGGCGGCGAGAAGCCAGCAATCGCCGAGCTCGCCCTGCTGTATATCGAAACGGGAGAAACCCTCGACGAAGAGCTTAGGGTCATCGGATATCTCGTGCGGCCTGAGCCACTGGATGCGGCGATCCGGCCTCTGGCTGTAGAAGAGCGAGGAATCACTCGCGGGAAACTGTGGATCCTCGAAGAGGCTTCCATTCTCGTAGTGGTAATCGCGAAGCTCGTAGAAGTCCTGCACGTCACCGCGCGCATTGAAACCGGAGTTCCTCTCGCCGAACTGAAAGAAAACATCATCATTGCACAGTCAATCGGGAAATGGTTAACCGATGAAACTGAAAGAGAGAAAACACTAAGAAACAACAATACATTTCCGAAATGCAAACTTTAATTAACTTTAAATCACTAATCTTATCGACGGAAAATGCATAGTAATCAATATTATTTAATTGAAGATTATATAAGCTTTTTGCAATTGTTGTCAATAAACAGTATAATTTTTATTGTTCAAATATATTTATATCAGATAACGAAACAAATCAAAGATTAGATATTTAAATGTGAAATTATTGTAACGAGGAAACTTAGGTAACAGGAAAATACAAGTACAAATAATTGTAGTTAATGAATTAGTCAGCAGTGGATAAACCCAAATCACGTTGCTGGTAATTGAATTGCAAATAGACTTTGTCGAACTGAGAGAGTTCTTTGGCAAGGTATCAAAGTAAACAAAATTAAAAGAAAACATAAAATTAAGAGGCATGTTTTCACACCTTTAAATTACAGCATCTTTTCATCTTACAACCTGGCTGTAATACAAGAAGTCGTATGTCGAATTTCATACAAATATCACAATAAACAAGAAAATTTTTTTATACAGAAAACTGTAACAAAAATTATACATTTCATTTTATGAATTTGTTTTGTCGTAAATGCGATTGTTTGCAAGACAATTTTTTCTACATTATATTTAAAGCGTCCATATTTATAAATTCTCGTTTTTAGCATTTTTTTGATTTCTAATTTATACTTAATGTAAAGTTAAAATTTCTGTAATTGTACTTTATTTCATCATTGGAATCAATGAAAACATGTAAAAAGACGTTTTTTCTTTAATTTTGTCTATATTTGATTATATAATTCAAATGTGTAAACATATATAAAAAATATGATATTTTTTTTGTAATTGTGAATACTTAAGTAAACATGTTGAAAGATGATAATTAAATACTACATGTTTATTATAATCGTTATCGGCAAATTACAAAACCACAGGAAGTGTACGAATGCGGAAGTTTTGTTTCTAAACAATATTCGATTCAAAATAGAAAACAGAAATATTTCCATTGATATAATAAAGTAATGTGTCTAAATATCATCAAAATCAATTTTAGTTAAGAAAAATAAAACTTTTTGTTTGGAATTAAGCGTTTCGGTTATAAGAGCTTCTAAAAGACACATCTAGTATAGACAATTATATGATGATAAGAATTACAAATTTTTATAACTTTGGTAAAACAGATATATGAAAGTCGATATTCTGTTTATGTTTTAGGTGAAACATTTTATGATCCTGATAAGAGAGATACATACATTTTATGCAATATTTGAATTGATACATTGGTTTCCTTTTAGATATTTGGATTGAGATATTTGTAGAGAAGCATTGTTACCTTGTAGATTTTATTTTCAATTTTTAGTTTATCATCTGTTTTGCTATTGTAATGCTTTTTGATATTATCGATGGTTCGACCCTTGAGCTTCGAGACGATGCGTTTGGTGATGTTGGAGCTTCCATGAACGAGTGTCACGACTTTGGATAAATCCGTGTAGGATTTCTTCTGACACGATTGACTCGGTGCAACCGTGTGCTTGGTGATCTTAGGTGAAGAGACCTGATGGTATTTGGTGGAGGTTGTGGTGATTGTCACCCTGTTCGCATACGCGAAATCCGAACAACCCGACATATTTTATTCTTTTGCAGCGGCGACAAGAGTTCGCGACGGACTGCGAGCTACTGCACTTTACGGAAAAACGAGTATGGGCGTGTAGGGTTGATACCATTAACCTGATAACAAACGTGATAATTCCGTCCGATGGAGGGAGGCGTCGGCGTTCACTTACTTTGTAGATCCTTCCTGCATCGAAGGCGGATGTGTTCGGTTTGCGCTTCACCCGTACTTTGTACAGCTTCTTCCTCTCCGCCTGATCGAAACGTTTGTTCTTGACCAGAGGATTTACTGCTGCGCCACCTTTAAATTTCCACATGGTGCTGCCCTTCCTGTTACGCACCAGCTCCCCGGGCTCGCTATTCCTCCTATGAGAACCGCCTTTTTTACCGCGATTCTTCCTCGACCACATCGCCTCCACGTTCTCCGCTACCTTCTTGGTCGGCTCCGAGGATTCCATCATTACCTGCATCTTCGTGTCTTCACTTTCTGGTAGATTCTTACATGTTGTCTCGCATCTCATCACCTCCACCTGGTTAGCGTCGGTCAACCTTCTGATCTCGATCAGATGATAACTAGAACTAAGTTTCTCTTCAATTCGCTTGTAAACAAGTGTCGAAGAACAACAAGAGCTATCGGATACAGCTCCTTCCGACTCGTCGCTAGGTTCCGGTTCATCCTCATCATCTTCCGGTAGCTCTGACGCAGCAGAAGTCTCAGGATCGTGATCCAAGGGCGCATTATAACTCTTTAGCGCTTTCACATCGACGGCCCTGCTCAGAGTGTCCCTGTGGTGTGGGAACCGCACATTATCAAGTGTCACCTCTCTCTTCACAGCAATTTCCTCCACATTCGACTCGTCCTCATTCATGTTTTTCCTCCAGCAATTTTGTTAATCATTTTGCACTGCCAAATTTATCAAACCCTCCCCATCACCGACGATTCAATCACAAACAAACATGTCACCTTCATTCACCATAGCAACGATCCGCAATCACTTCTAAATACACTTTAATTCTCTAAATCAGCGGTCGGGGAACTTTTTTAACCATTACCCCAAAATATTATTGCGTAAGTCG